GTTGAATGAGATCATCACCAAACTTAAAGCCGAAGAAGAAAGGAGATTTTCTTGCAATTCTTCAGCCTTGAATGACTCCGTAAATGTGGTAAACCTTAAACCGAACTCTGGTTCATTCAAGAAGAAGAAAGGCATGGAAAAGAATAAGAACAAAACGAATGCGGATCAAGTGGGGAATAATGGGCCAAAAGAGAAAGAAGGATTTTAAGAATACCCAATGCTATAATTGCAAGAAATTTGGGCACATTGCTAAGTATTGCAAAGCACCCAAGAATGCAAATCTCGAGGCCGATAGGGAGCATGCTTGTGTAGTCCTAGAGACTATGCTAGCTAACACTAAAGTAGGGTCATGGTGTTTTGATTCAGGGTCCACTACCCATGTATTAAACACCAATGGAGGATATAGAAATTTTCAGCCTGTTGCCCCTGGGGATCAGTATAGGGATCAGTATATCTATATGGGTGGAAATCAAAAGACTGAAATTCTTGGTATTGGAGATTTCATCCTTCAACTTGAGAATGGCAAAAGCGTGGTCCTAAAGCAAACTCTTTATACTCTTGAGATGATGAAGAGTTGGTTTCGGTCGCTAAATTGGCTAAGACAGGTTACTCCACCATTTTTACTGGTAATAAGGTGGAGGTGAAATATGAAGATGAATTAATCATGAAAGAAGGTTTCTTTTCACTTGCAATAAAAGAATTCCATTTCTTAAGTTCGAGTTATAATGATAACTATGTTGTATGTATATGGCACATGAGACTAGGGCACATAAACCCTACAAGGATGGAGAGATTAAAGAAGAGTGATTATTGAGTAATCTAAATAAAGACTTAACCAAAGTGATTATTATACGAGGAAAAAGTTGTTTTAGAAATCCTTTCTGAAAAGCTCAGAGAGCTATGGGCATTTGTTTGGAGGTTGTTCGTAGTGATATTTGTGTACATATGAATGTGGCCGCCAAGGGCTGCAAGTGGTACTTTATCACATTAAAAAGATGATCACTCCCATTTAGGCAATGTCTATTTGTTAAGATAAGAGAATAAATAAATAAAAAAAAATCTGAAGCCCTAGATTAGTTCAAAGTGTATAAAACCGAGATGGAACCCCAAATCAAGAGGACTATTGTATATATGTTAAGATCAATGGGAGTGACGTGGTTTTTCATCTTTTTATATGTGGATGACATGTTAATTGTCAGTATTTTGATTGGAGACGAGCTTTCTTGTCACATAATTTTGATATGAAGGACCATGGAGAAGCCATGCAGAAAATTCCATATAGAGGTGCAATTGGGTCACTAATGTATGGTATGTCAAGGACAAGACCAGTTTTATCTTCTACCATGAGTTACGATTAGCAGGTTCCAAAATAATCTGGGCATGAATCACTGGAAGGCCATCAAATGAGTACTGCGACATTTGAAGGGAATCGTTAATTACGCACTCACTTATGGAGGAGGCTCGGACATACAGATACAAGGATATTCAGATGCGGATTATCAGGGCGATTCAGATGATATCTAGTCCACATCCGGATATATCTTCACGCTTGCAAGTGGAGTTGTTTCTTGGTGCTCAAAGAAACAGGATATAATTGCATTCTTGACTATGGAGTTAGAGCATGTGGCAAGTTGTTTTGTGGCTAAAAGTAGTCTGGTTAAAGAAGTTCCTAAATCAACTCAAATTTGATCCAGTGAAGTGCTTGTGCATTAAAATCTTCTGTGAAAACTAGGCAGCTATTTGCGTGTCAAAAGAGCCGAGGTTACTACCACATTCGCAACGAGATCCAAGCAGGAGAGATTCTGATTACATATCTCCCGATTGAGACCATGTTAGCGGATCCTTTGATAAAAGGATTGGTGGCAAACGTTTTTTCTGCCAAACATGTACATGGGATGGGCTTGAGAGAAATTGAAAGGGAATGATTGTATGGCCTTCAAAGGCCAAGTGGGAGATGTTGGGTTTTTGTGGCCTTTAAAGGCTTAGAGAGCTTGTAAAAAAAATATATATATATAATAGAATATGCACTTCAGTGGGAGTGTGAGTTGACTGACCAAGGGTTGGGCGGTTTATGGCCTTGGTCATGTCTAAAACCCTCAGCCTTGCGCATGTGGCACATCCGAAAAGGGTTTGACGTGGGTCATCCCTTGTTGAGGTCGGAGAGATGCCCAGGGATCATGTTTGTAGGCCAGAAGATCTGTGTGGTCTCCTGTGTATGGTTGTAGGCTTGTGAGAGCAAGGGCCAAATCCTCAATAGACTTCCGCACAGCATATACATATGACAGCCGCATGGTAAGCCGCCCTTTTTTACAGGGACACGTGTATATGTGCATTGAGAGAGCCCCCTTTGCACTGTAGTGACAAGTGCTAGACTTGCTCTTAAAAAGGGGGACTGTAATCCATATTCCAGGATCATAGTCCCACTGTTTTATTATCCAACTTTGACAAGCGAATCATGAGCCCCTGCAAAGTGACTATGGATCATGAGATTTTTGTTGGGTTGGATAAGAGAACATTTGTGGATCATGGTTTATGGGGCGAGTGGAGCGCCCTTAGTGTCACTTATTTTGACCCAATGGTACACTCCTAGTATATTTTATTTCGGTATTGTAATTGTTTCTTTGATTTTTAAATATTTTTCAGAATATTAAACTATTGTTACTGCTGTAAATTTTCATAAAGAGGTATTTTTGAAAGTTTTTAGAACTTTAAAATAACACATATGGGACCAAGGATCCAGCCCCACATGTGGCACTCCGTGCACCCTAGGGATCGCACCCTATTTTTGTTCAGTAATATTTGGCACATCTTATTTTATTGCTAAATGGGGTGTCATGCCAATTTTTTTTAACTAAAAGGGGCCACGTTTTTTTATGAGAGAAAAGAGGGGGCATTCCACTTTTTGTGGCACAATCCCCCCATGCCTTTTTGTTCGGAAGAAAGTGGCATGCCCCTTTTATTTTAAAATCAAATTTAAATATGATAAATCCAAAGATTTGATAATTAATGAGATATGGTTTTCCCAAATATTGTGGGAAATTAGATTTATCTAGAAAATATTTTTAAGTTTGATTTCAAATTTATAAGGATAAAGTTTAAATTTGATTGGTTTGATTTTAAGTAGTAAGTAGGAGCGGATTGAATCAAAGTTTAAGGGGATAAGGTTCTTAATTTTTCCACCTAAAATCTAGCTGATTTTTGGGATGGATAGCTTTTGATTAAATCTCTCACCCCACAGATTTCCTATTTATCGTAATATGGTGTGGCTGTAAATGAGATAAGGCAAATCCTATTCAAACTTGAAGATAAGTTTTCTCAATATCTCCTTCTATTTAAAGATGAGCCTATTTGAGATCCAATAATAATAATTTCTATTGCTCCCAAGATATCTCTCTCCCTCACATAGCAATTATTGGGATGTCTCTCTCTTCTTCACTCACCAAATTTGGAGGAGACCTCTCTCTCTCTTCTTCAAATTTGGGGATCTCTCTTTCCTCTCCATACCAATAAAATGTTTATCTCTCTTTTTTATTTTCCATGCCATCTCTCTCTTAACCTAAATAGAGGCAGGCCATGCATCTCTCTCTTAACCTAAAGTGAGGCATGCCATCTCTCTAAGACATACCACCTCTTTCTCTCCTCTATATTTTTCTCTTGAAAGAAAAATTAGAGGTGGCCTATTGGAGGAGAAATGCTAAACTAGGGTTTGCTGTATTTTTCAAAGGAAGAGAGAAGCTTAACTTAGAGAGATATCAATTCCGAGATCAACCCTATTTTGTTCCCATAGGGTCTAGGTTATTTTTTAGCTCTCTTAAACTCTAGAGTAAGAAGGATAGCCTACAAAACTTCCTTATGAATTTCTAGCAACACCTTAAGGAGGAAAAGTGTGTCATTGGTCTGGGAATCGGGTCTGGGGTGTACCAAGTCCTGGTTGGGTAACTCCAAGCATCTTTCAGTATGTCTTCCCATTAATTTTTATTTATTTTCAATTTTATTTTCTATTTTTCTATAATTTTTTAGGAACTTATATTATGTTAAAAAATTGTTATAAAAGCTAGTTTAAAGTTCCTGGATGATTTCTATTTCTCTTAGCAGTAAAATAAAAATCTTAGATTGTATTTAGGACATTGTTTTCATTTTCCAGAAATATATTGTAGCACATGTAGGTGGAATTCAGGTATTGGGAATAAAAGTAAAAATAAAATTTTGAATTTAATATCTTGAGTTCCACGTAGCCACAACTTACAGCCCCCACCACTGCCCCCATTATCACATTGTCAGCACCACTACCAGCATTGGACCACATAATAAACAAATTACAATTCAAATTAAAACAATGAAACACCTATGTATCACAAATTATAACTGACCAAATTGCCATTTGGTCAAATTACAATTTGAAAAAGAACGCCGTTTTACGAAATTGGATATCAAATACTGAATTAATTGCTGTTTTTCAGTGAATAGAATTTTTCTTTTTTATTTTTCATTTACTAAGGTGGGATATGGCATGCACCCCTATCAACTTATTTAATGTAGCAGCTCTGACTTAGTGATTGCAATCTAAACTATGAGTTTCCTAGGTTTCTGAAAAGCTGGTTCGTATAAAAAATATGAATTTGCAATGCAACTATGAACTTGGATGAAACATCAGTGTCGGAGCTAAAATGCTTTTAGGTGCACTAGCTGTTTTTTGGCTGATTGACTTGCCCATATTTGTCATTTCAGTCCATATTTATTGTGTAAACTTTGAAGAATAGAAAACTGTATTCTGGGAGCATAGTAGATATCTCTCTTATGTCTCCAAAAATCTTGAATATATACTTAATCAACAGCAAGCAGAATAATCTTCTTCCCAGTCATCCTCCTGGCACATATTCCCAAATTTAAGGTTCCCTATTATGGTCTGTTTGAAAATAAATGGTGGTGATGTCTGAAACTTATTCTTCTTGGAATTTTTACTGAGATGTTATATGAAGTGTTTTGTTCTGGATGGGCAGGTAATTGCTACAATATGTGAAGAGCTCTCTCCAGAAAGCATTATGCTAATCTACATATCAGCATCAGGTGATGTTAGGTTCTTTACCCCAATTCATTCCCTACTGCCTTTCAAAATAATAATTGTTTTCTTGACACGGATGAACTGTTGTTTGCAGGGAAGGCTGAGCGGAATGTCACTTCTCTGCCAACAGCTTCTGGAGCTCTGATGAACTCTTCACAACCAATTTTGCGCGTTCCACATGCTCATGATTTATTATCAAAAGAGAGCTCAGTTACCACAGATAATCATCGGAAATATGGTTCAGAATCTCATGCTTCAGTGGATGATAAAGGCGACTCTGTTGATTCTTCAGGGACATGCTTGTGGTTGGGTTCTCGTGGAAATGGAGGTTTAATATTTTTCACTATTAACACACATACCCATTAGAAAGAAATAGAAAAAGAAATTCTTGTGTTACTTTCAGGAAATCTATACCTAGAACCGTTCATTTGATTTTAGCATCTTCCTAAAGTTACATAACTTACAAAATTTTGTAAAATTATCTAATAGGGAATGCTTTGAGTTAGCCGCGGCTTGTTTTTTCTATCAATGAGGATGGAGTATAATATTATGCTTTGTTTTTTGACTATCAATGTGTCCTTATGATCAGGTGTGAACAAGCTTTATCCTGCTGATATACTTCCTTTTACAAGGAGGCCACTTTTTCTTATTATTGACAGTGACAATAGTTGTGCATTCAAGGCAGGTTTGTCAGAACTCATTTTTTTTTTTTTTGGGGTATTTTTTCCTTCATCTTAAGCACCATCTCTTTTGGTATAATAGCTCAAAATCATCACAATGGCCATCCGTTTCTTACTTTCCAGAAATCTGAATTTTAGACGGATATTGACAATCCATACATGCTAAAACTATATGTTCTGCACATGCTTCCTACTGTATCTAATTGCCAAATTATGCCATTGATAAATTTATTTTATAGATGTTAATGCATTGCACATCATTTTTTTCTCCAATGAATACTAGAATAGGGTTTTCTCCATTGTTAAACTTTCTGTTTATCTACAATATGATATGCACAGAATATATTGTCGAAATGCATGAGATAATTTTGGGGGATATCCAAGATAGTGGGTTATGCATCAAACACCATGGTACTTGACTCCTCAACAAATGGGCTAATAAACTGGAAATGCTCTCTCTCTGTCTCCCCCTTCCCCCCCTGCCTGTGAGTTATCATAGTTTTTTATCGTATGTTTCTTACCAGAAAAATTATGATAGATTAGATTAATATTAAGGATGAAAAGTTTTCTTCTCTTGGTTATTATTCTTCCCAGAAAGTGTACGAGTGCCATGCCTGAGATAATGGCACTGTGCTTCACCATATTTTGGATTGCCCATGAAGCATTCTGTAATCCATTTCATGGGAAGATACATGATAATACTGAATCTGACCATCATGTCTTATTTTATATTGCACCTGCCCATCCGAATCGAAGCAATGAATGCCAAAGTTTTCCTTTTCTTGCTGACGAAACAGTGATGTTGAAAGATTAAATTCCAACTCCATTCAAACATCCCCACTCACCTCCAGACAACACCAGGACTCAGGTTCAGACTTTGGATTGAATTCATTTATGACTTTTTTTTCCTCATTGCCCACTGCAGTTAATAAAGAGGAGTCCTTCACCCTTTCAAATTTTGTGTTTCATATCATGCTATCTATAACTCGTAATGTTCTTTCCTTTGTTTCATGCATGCCTTTAGGAATCACAAAGTTTGTCAATGCAATTGCACATCAAGAGTGGAAGTAACCATTGGCAGAAGACACTTGATCCTGGGAGAAAATAAAATCTGGAATCTTGTTCCATTTCCTAAAGGAAAGAAGGCATTGGCATTGGGAGTGCAAGCTAAAGTTTGAGCCAGACTAGAGCATTGAGAGGAACGAGACATGAGTTGTAACTGAGGATTTTACAGAGGATAGACTCAGAACCATGAGGCTCGTAATATTGATAGCTTCCAATTATTCAGAGCCACTATATCTATGCAACTTGTATGTCTCTCTCTGAGAATGTCTCTCTCTGAGAATCTTGAATTAGGATGCATGGTACCTTACTACCTCTTTGAATTCCTTCAAGGAGATCCACAAATGGCATACATTTTTGTGTATGAAAAGCCATCTAGTTGCTCGACGCAATTATCTTAGAGCTAGTTCAATAGGTTCACACTCCATGTTAATCAGCTTAATTATTGCATGCATGTGGAGTGTAGGCCTCAATGCACCCTGCTCTTCTCCTATATATAGAATATATTGTATTTATGGACATTATGATAGTTAATAGATCTGTCTCTAAAGTTTTCTATCAAAGAGATGGGTGCATTTTAGTACTTCTTGCATCCACTAAAGGGATTATTATATCATCAAGGAAGTCTACGATTGACATATCCAAAGAAATTTTTAGACTAGCTGCTGTGTGTGTTAGTCTCTCATGGCAGTCTCCCTTTTCCCCGCTCCTGTGGCAGTGATTCTTTGAAAGGTGTGGAATTAAGGCACACACTGCACTTTTTCCCAAACTCTTTCTTCTCTCCTATTCTACCTCTTTATTTGATGATTTCTAGAGATGAGCTCTATCATTTATTGATCGAGAGAATTCAACAGTTGTGACTAAACTAGCCTTGGTTCTCATTCGAGAAGTTGAACAATTAGCTAATAATCTCCTTCCCAATTAAATGAATTTCTTATTTTAACCTGTGTTAATGGAGTCTTAAGATGTCATTTTTTTTCCCCACCTTCCTCATTGTGATTTATAACTTAAGAGTGGCTGGCCTCTTTTGTCATATATGCCGGTTTATTAATTGCAATATTCATGTTGGAGCCATACCCTAAGTCATAATATATTATGATCGGTCTTCCTAGAGCTTCCTTGCTGTGGGGAGGCCTAGTGTTTGGACTGCTCAAGAGTGCTTACAAGTGCCCATGAACTTTTGATGGTTTTCTTTGTGCTGAAACTTTATTACCCAACTTGGGCTTTCCTCCTAGCATTAGATTTGATGAAAGATTTTGGATGGACAATTAGGTAGGATTATTCTTGTACATGCTTTACATGCTTTCTCTTAATTGGGATGCGGACCATATCCATATCGCTCAAGTCAGTTGCCTTTTTGAAGGCCTCTAGGTGCTTGAATTGGTCGTCAATGTCTTTACCAAAAATCAAAACATCATTAATATAGGCAATAGCAAAGTTGTCGAATGGCCTAATAATTTCATCCATAATCCATGTCGAATGGATTTACCAAAAATCCAAAGAGCATGGTGCACCATTCATATTGGCCCATTGGTACTGCAATGTAGTTTTGTAGCGATCCTCGTATGCAATCTTCACATGTCAGAAGCCTAATCTGAGGTTGAATTTGCTGAAGTGCCGGGCACTTGTAATTTAGGAGATCAGGATTTACCTGTTTGGAACGTTAGGGGGCCTATAATTAATTACGAGCTGCAGAACTCCTCTTTCCTATTCACTATGATTATTGACATAAAAAGCAGCTCATGACCAAGACCTCTTGCTTGGTCAGATAAAAGCTTTGCTCAACAGGTCTAAGATCTCCTGGTGGTTGAGTTTGCGTATCTCTTTGGGCATTTGAACAGCCCGTGATTTTGATGGGACTTTCTTTTAGGAGAAATCCTCTTAGTAAGGGAGCTTTACCTCCCATGTGTGTCTTTACTGAAAGGCCTTTATGTTTAGGGAAAGTGTCTTCGCATGGCTTCAATTCATGAGTGGTTCTATGGTTTTGCTAATTGTCACGAAATATGGGCATGAGGAATTTGGTCCTTGATGTCAGGAATGACCTTCTGAAGGCATTCCTTTACTCAAGATTGTCTTTTGATAGCAGAAGAAGTAGGAGGTACAGAGAATCGAAAGAAAACTTCCTTCCCTTTTAGGTTCCCCCTCCCAATTTTCTATGATGAAAGACTGGAGTTTTGAGAGAAGAGAGTTACCGTCCCATCAAGGATTAGGAAGTCTAATATTCACAGGCCTCCCCTTTGCAGATATGGACGTCTCAAACCATGTATATTGTTTCCAGCTTGGCCCTGTCTACAACTTGTGGCTTCTCATTACGTCTCTTCCAATATTCTACTGGAACTATGTCAACCCGAATACAGTTGAAGTTGGATCTTGAGTCAGGTCTTTGTATATGTTCCCTCAGATCTTAGCCATTAATATGGAAATCCATCATTGGAAATCATGCACCATTCTATTGATGATCATCTTTCCTCGAACTGCCTAATCAAAGTATTTCTCTAAATCCGGGTTAGCAGGCGCATCGAATGGTTTGCTACTCTCTCCAAGGAGGATGTTCTGTTGTTCCTTCGGTGCTTGGATTGGAGTTTTAAGGGATTTAGTATGAATGTTTAGCTGCCTGCGCTTCCCCTGAAAATCCTTAAGTTTTGGTCAGGATACTTCAACTTTCTTGGCGAGTTCATCTCCATTTTTATGGAGACAAAGTGTTCTTCAGGAAGAACAGTTTTATGTCATCTCCTCCTAGAAGTAGAGGCTCCAGAAGATATTGTCCCGACAGTTCCCCATCACAAAGGTATTATTGGAACTTGTGAGTAATTGGGAAATTTGTGTTGTACTTGAATTTTGTGAGTTCTTTTTCCTCCATCCCACAGTTGTAGTTCTCCATTTGCATCTTCTCATGGAACTTTGGGCTCATGTTGATATAGAAGGGTATCACACCCAACTATTTTATCAATAGAGTCAATGATGACCTCGACGGGGTTTACAGCTCCGAACTGCAAATCTAGGCTTTGGAGGGAGTCTGAATTTGCCGGAACAAATCGATAGTTCCTGTGGTTTTGGAGTCACCGCTACTACTGTATTGGAGGTGTTGACCTGACAAATGCATTCTTTAGTGTCAAAGTCGCTTTCTAATGAATAGAAGTTGCTTCCTCTGGTAGCGGCACTGACTTTCTTCTTATCTTTGCAGTCCTTCCAAAAATCTCCTTTTCCATAGTTGTAATATTTTGATTTCCACCTCTCACCTTCTTCTTATGAGAATGCCTCCTCCCCTTTTATCGGTTCAGTGCATCTTTTTCCTAGGAGACATATCTCTTCTCTTCTCATGGTGGCGACGCTTGTACCGTTCTCTGCTCCTACTCCTTTTGTGGCAATGAGGACTGCCTTTTATCCCGGTCAACTTTAGCTATCTACAGACGTCTTTCTTGACTTTGTAACTGCGGGCCTTGGCATTGGCTTGGAGCTTTTCAGTGCATCTCTCCATAATTACTATTTTTGTTTTAGTAAAATACGCCCCCAAGCAACAATATTTAGGTCATAATCTTTGAAATGATTTTGACATTCTCCCTTAATTTGCTCGGAAGCCTAGCGAAGAATTTTTGTTTGTAGGCAGCACTTTCACAGTCAAGAAGCTTACTTACTCCTTCCTGGAAGGCATACATACCTATACCGGCTATAATCACCAAGGGGCCGTTTGGATACTTGGAAATATATTGTCTGTAAAATATATTACAGCCGTAATACATTACTGCGTAATACATTACCTGCAAATGGATTGTCACTGTTTGGGTAGTATTTAGGTGCAACTTGGGAAATACATTGCTACTATTTGGCTATGTCCGGAAGAAATATGAGAAATGCATTACCATCCAAATATGAAAAATATGGCTATGTTTGGCTAACATGATTAGACTTTGGTTTCAACATGATAAGTCATTGGAATAC